TCGCTTTAGATAAAAAATCTATCCCAGAAAATCCGAGGATATATGCAGACATAAATCCTAATGAATTATCAAGATTTTAAGACCGCACGTATAATATAAATTCTGATAGATTTTAGATTTCCGTCTTAGAAGTTCGCATTCCAGCGAATCGCCGCGTAAACAACCAAAGAAAAAGAGCTAACTTGAAATTTTGAAAGATTTTTAGTCACGCAATCTAGGACCATATTCAACCCGATCTTTCCATCTTGATCATTTTTCTTAGATTAGAGAGAGCTCATAAATCTCTACGAATATTTACGATCAAATTATAAACTGAAAATTATAATTAATCTTCCATCTACGCGCTTCTCCGAATAAGCCGTGCCATCAGTAAAAGAAAGATAAATCATATCAAATACAAGCTCGTTTATAATATTCTATGAATATCAATATATAAATATATAATAAAAAAGATCAACCTAATAGAATTTGAAAAAAAATTAGAATAACTATTCGGGAGAGCATATAAATCTCAATCAAAAATCAAGAGCGCACGTAACTAAATTAATAGAAATATTTAATTATTCCGACCGAATTTTCCGTCTCATTTATATTTCTTAGACTATCTACGCAGCAGCTCGGGGGCATATATCTATTTCCGTAAAAAGAAATAACTTATCTATAAAAAAACGCGAATAAAAGATTTGCAAGCTTTTAAGCGGCACGATTCGTAGGCGGCACGATTCGTACCAAATATTTCGAAGATTGCAACGATTTTATTTTCTCGTAAAATATTAATCTCTTCGATTTTTTTTTGAGAACCTAGACCGTATACAAACGAAATCAATATCAAAATATTATAAGATAATTTTAGATCCCTTCTATAAGAAGCATTCTAAAAAGAATCAGAAAATCTAGACGTATGCGAGCGGAATATTGAAATATATATTTATAATGAATTTCTAAAAATTATTCGAATAATAACGAAAAAAATAAAATCAAAAATAAATTGAAAAATATTGAATATTTTATTTTGAATTTTCAAGGGCTATACGATTTCATAATATATTTCTTAACTACAATATCAACTTAAACCTAAAAATATTTTATTTCCTATTATGCAAGCCGGCCTTACTTTATATATATATATATTCATCCCGTCAATATTCTGCTCCTATATCTTCTTCCGAAGAGGGATCATCCAAAGCCTTTAACCTGCCGAATTTTTTTTACGAAATTCTGTTCGAAATTGTATGTTTAAATCGTATTATAATTCATTCAAAATCGATAGAATTCTATTTCTAAAAATAATCACAAATAAGAATAGTAAGTAAGCATTAAATTACTGATCTTGAGAAATTGTCGTATTTAATACATCTCATTGATCCATTTCAATCATGGGCTGCAAAATGAGCAGCTTAAAGACATCCACGCATATCTTAATTTGATTGCTCAACCTGCAGTGTGCATGATCAGCCTGAACTTTACACAGGCCAATATTGAGGTTGCCGCGTTGCCAATCTTTGACGACATGTAACTGCGCACAATTTTTTAAAACTGTCGAGCGCAAGATTTCCCAGATTGTGCACAGACTTGCACGGGACAAATGACCCTTCTGTGAACAGTTTTGCGGCTGTGTATATGAACCCCCAGCAAACCTTGCAATATAAATCGGTGCTTTTGCGGATTGCCAACGACTCTGAAACAGCGTAGAATCCTATTACCAGAATATTTTTTGCATGAATCAGGCCTGTTGAAGGTCTAGGCTTAGAAGGACGGTTCTGTCGGGGAGAGTGTTCGGGTCCTGCTCAGAGCCAACGCGCTGGTACGCGTGCAAGGGAAACCTTACCATCGATTGATGTCCGGAGCACCGTCCTAGATTCCAATTTCATCTGGATGTGAGAAGGGTTTTAAGCTCCAGATTCTGCTTAAAACCCCCTAGTTCCAAATACCCGAATCTTAATCTTTAAATCGGGACTGTGGAAGAGTCATCGTCTTTGGCACTGCCCTCGCTGGTTTGCACCGAGGACGCGCGTCCCACAATGCAAGCCGGGTACTGATGGTACTCGGAGAAGAGGGCGTTTTGGGCAGAAGTGCCGTTTGGGCTTCAGAAGTGGGTACTGAAACAAATGATAAAGAAAAAAAGCCGTGCCCAGGTGATGAAGGCAGCCACAACAACTGGGAATGGGCATGCCGTGGGCTTATGAAATTTGCAGGCGACGCGTTTGCTTCTTCTTGCGAGATACACCACACCTTTTTGATTTTGCAGAAAAGCTTCAGTTTGAGCTTTTCTCAGATTGAAAGACCAGCAGGACAAATCGAAATATGCCAAACCCAAGTCCAGAAACATAGACACCAAATCCTGTTTGGGTTGGACACAAAGGCACAGATCAGAATTCAACAAGCTACAGCAAGCTTACCATACTCTGTATTCAGCTCAGGATAACAATTAAGCCGACTAAGCAAGAAAAATTACTAGCAAATGATATATGATGCCCATGTACTTACAGCTTCAATGCTGAAATCGTGACCGCATACAACATCCTTGATGAGACTTACTGACTGCAGCCTGAACCCATGGCGTAAAATCCTACATTGAAAAACCTCCTTTTCCTTGACATCATTTTACAATTGTGAACCCCAAAGCAAAACCTTGGAATCCCTTTACGATTATGACCTAGCTGTGAACGCAATTCTTTACATCCGAATCTTTATATCCAAAATCCAAAGTGAGTCAGTCCTCAATGGGGATTCTACGACCCAGACTGTAAGCATCAAATCTTCAATCCTAGCTAGAATGAGAGCCCTGTATAGAAGGCTGGATATTTGCTGACGTGGATTCCTATGACTTACACAAAGATACCGAAAAATCCTAGTGGTGTGCGAACATCCCAAAAGGAACCACAAAATCTTGAATCCTATTTTTTGCTTCTGCATCCTAAGCCGTGAATGAATCTTAAACCCTACACCCCGAAGCCCTTTCCTCCAGAGCCTCCGGAGCCTTCAGAACCCTCCGCCTCAGCTTTTGCCTCAGCCTCGGCTTCCGACACTTTGGCAGCCAAGACTTTCGCGAGGCCTTTGTCCTGCTTGACGGTTTAAGGCTTTGGGTTTTGAAGGTTTGAAGAAAGTTGTGCGACCTCTCAACGACGGGCTTCAGGGACTGCGGGGCATTAGCAACTTAATCATGCAGGTGCACTCGCCAACAAATTCACGCGATTTTGCTGACGATGGTATCCCTGACTACATGTTTCTTGAACTGCCAATCCGAGGTCCGCTTCGGTGATGCAACCAATCGTTCTTGATCCTGACTGGCTAGCAATTGCCTGGCAACCTGTGTAGTAATCTGTTCCTGAAGTTGGCCAAAATCATCAGACTTCACTTTCGAGAAAAATTGTTTGGAAAGAAGATTTCATCAACACATTGACTTTGCCTTTTTTCGCGTTAGGAATAAATTTTCCCATGTTATTGAATATGGCTTATGGGCAGCCATCTATTTGGAAATGTTTTAAACCCAAGCAAAAGATTTAACATGCTGCATACCGTATGCATACCGCGAAGCATGCCCACTGGAGCTAGGACGAGCTGTGTGGAACTTTGCGGTACAAATCTTTGTGGATTGGTGCGAAATGCATGCTTACTTGATGCAAAGCTAACAAGATTTGGATCCAAACACCGAAGCTATGGTAATTTCCCTCATCACTCGAGCCTCCTGTTTCAAGGTCTGAACTCTTGCGACCAACGCTTGCGTGAGGTAGGCGATGGAGTCTTTGTCCTATGGCGGTGCAAGCGGGACCAGGCTCTCTCTCCCAAACAGTGTGCACACTCAGCGCTTGAGGATGGTCGAATGGGTGGTATAATCTTCACCGGTCCTTAACACAGTCCACATGGACACTTACCATTTATCCATGACCTTGTCGCGTTGTGGAATGCGGGCAGATCTGCAGTTGAATTTTTGGTGATGGAACTCGAAAAAGAATGATTGCATGTTGCTATTCTGAGGAGATATGAACGAGAATGTGGAGAAGGCAGCTTGTTCAACATCAAGCCGTTTAGAAAGTTAGATTTTGGGATGCAACGTCTTCGGTCTGCACATTTTACGCTTCCAACCCTGCCGCGCAACCTCCTCTAGAGAGGTTTTACTTAGATTTTCATGTTTAACCACCCATTAGACACGGCCTTTAGCTTTGGTTGCCTGGTTCCGGCCAACAGGATTTGACATCCATGATTCTAGGTCCTCAAGAACATAGGGTCGGTGGACATCGCGTTTAGGAGCAATCAAATCCCAGCGTTAACGCTCCAAACCCTCCTTGCCTTGAACCACTCCATCTCGTGCATCGCCACGAAGATCTTCCCAATGTCTGCAGGCATCACCTGCTAGACGAACAGGATCTAGGGGAGGAATGATGCCGTCGGCTTGCCGAGTATGAAAGACTCTTTCATGTGGGGTGGTTCAGGGTGGTGCCATGAAAGCTTCGGGCTAACGGGTTGCGGGGTTTTCTGTCTGCGGGGTTGCCCTGCAAAGCGCTTCCATAATGCTTGGGGCTTGAAATTGGAGCCTGTCAGCATTGACTGCAAACTTCTTACGATAGGAATGGAATAACAAAATCACTGTCTCAAATAACGCCTGCAATCTCGGCATAACAGTTCATATAGGGCTGGGGCTGTCTGACAGCAGGGGTTAGGGAAGCGGCAGCCCATAGGCCATTTCTACAAGCCACTTCTTTCGTGAACTTTAGCTTTCTTGCAATGTGGGCGCTTAACGTGGCTTGTAAGATGAAAGGGAATACACCGAAAGCCTTCTTGAAATTGATGAGGTCCCTTTAGGTGCAGGCCGTTCTCCAAACTCCGGCGCGAAACATGGAAAATGTTGGCTTTTAAATTAAGGTGAAGCGTACAAACTGTAAACCCTAAACCGCAAGTAGTAGAAATTCAAAGTCGTAAAACTCAATTCCTCAACCCGACTCTTGAAGCCCCAAGCTATGACCGGCAAGAGAGAGTGAGTGGAGAAATCAGTCGTTGGCCTTATCGATATTGGCCAAGATGCCCTTGGCAACCTGCAGCTTAGATTTTAGGGCTCAGGCTTGCGCTGGCACCATGTAGTGTTGATACGGCCAGCTCAATTGCAACATGAGGGCTTGCAGGGCTGTATGGTGAGTTTGGAAGTTTTTTTTCGTGCAGGAAGCTCACGTAAAATCATGAGCATTGATTGTTTGATGTCCAGATGCTTCATGACAGCATAAGGTGGCGCCCAAAACATGTCCCATTGTTTGTCATGGAAGTATCTGAAACCTCAAGCGCCCACTGCACATTCTCAGATCCACCATGCTACTATGCTTTGTATTGCAGACTCTCCAACCTGCAGCTAGCTGCCATTCACAACCTAAAAACTTGAATTCTTGACCCACATGCCTCAGGGCACATGAAACCAAAGTCTGACCTTCCGCCTTACCACTTGAAGCTATTTCAAGTTGATCTTTAAATATTCTTAGATACAATTTGCTTCTGTTGCGTGCTTCCATGACGTCTTCTCGTGCTATACTGATGCCCTGAAATACCCTAAGCCCAATCCTGACTCTCAATTCTAAGCCCCAACACCAAGCCCTGCTAAGCCTTACCGTCCGCATGCATGGTGCCATGATGTGGACCCTGCACAACCCTATGTCACAAACCCAAAGCCCTGTGCCCATCCCCTCCCTGCAATTTTTAAACAAGCGTGCAATCCTAAACTGCACGCCTTGATCTGCAAGGAGGCTAAAGGCACATTGGCAGTGGCCAGGGCCCAGGCCTCTTGCTGGCTTAGCGCAAAGGGTCCAGGTTGGCATCAAGGCAATGGAGATAGACTTGTATCACGGAACCCCACTTGAATGACGCTTAGTATTCTTGCGGACATCTTTAACGGCAATGGGTCGTATAGGGGCCTGTGTCAAGTTGAATGTCAGTGTGAATAAGGCTTTCATGGCCCTTATGAGGCTGGCGTGGACTGCTCCAAAGATTCTTAGTGGGAACCATGACAGGTCATACAGATCAGAGCGTTTGTGATAAGGCCTCTAGACTTTGTAGGGATCATGCTGGGATGTTTTGGGGCGCGTTTGTTGTCATGCGTCATGGCAAAATCAATCAAGGAAGATGGAAGTATGATTATCGCAAATCTTCAAGCTCTTAAATCAAGGCATGAAACTGTTGAGGATGTAGGCTTGATGTCGAGTGGCCTTCAGGTTTGAGGGTTGCATGCCGTTGGGTTCAGGTGCCTTTCAGGTCTGGAGATGCGGCCTCAAGCTTGACGAGCTTGTGCAAAACTGAATTCGAAAGCCTTTCCGTGCGCTCTGCACAAGAAGCTCTTGAAGAATGGAGGGACAAGCAGAGGTTGAGAGCATGTGGGAGCCTACATGATTAGAACAAGGTTTAGGGGTTATTGTATACTATAAGTATGTACAAAATATGAGAGGATCCTGCTGATCATTCCGGCTTCTACATTATGACTTGTGTAGTGTGTACTGAGCGCGAGGGGGAAACTGCAGAGGAAACATCTCCGAACTGGATGTCGTTTTGGAAGCGCATTGTGGAACCGACTGGCTGGAGTGGTTCTGCTCATCCTGGTGATCCTGGCATTGTCTATTCTCGTAGGAACCTTAGACAACCCTTCTGTGATATGCATGTGCTGGATCTCTCAAACCCTTCATTCCAAGATTTGATCCGGGACCAATAGCAATCTGTTAAACTTTGAAACCCTGAAACCTAGTTGCTCGGTCCTTCGCCCGAAGCATTAAATCCCATTCGCCCAATGACTATAACTTGTTGGAATCTTGTCTAGTATGCAGTGGACTGATCGGGATCTGCATACTTTCGTTGTTTGCCTTTGGCAGTCTGTGCTTCACTGTATGCGATTTAAACCCCAAGCCATAAAAACCCTGAATCTACATCTTCAGCCCATAACCTTCAACCCTGAAACCGGAAATCTAACCCTCAACCCAAAACTCTTTAAACAACAACCCAAAACCTCAAGCCCTAAATCCTGAAGCCTAAGACCGCAATCCAATAATCGTTGTTGTCGGCCAGCAGCCATCGACGAAACGGCACCAACGTGCTTCATCTCGTCCCTAGGCAAGTCAAGGGCGGCATAGGCCATGACCTGGCAAAGGAAGGGAGGATTGAGGGCTTAGAGATCTTGGGGGTTTAGAGAAGGCTCGGGGGACTTGATGGCAGCAGGGGTTCAAGGTTTTGTAATCACTTGGAACCTGTAATCTACAATTCCCTCATCACGCCTGGAAGTTTGGGCTTGGGGCTTAGGCTGTTGGGGTCTAGTGATGGGAACTATAGCTTGTGGTTGAGGACTTGGGAAGAGTTTTGCATCCTTTGGTGTCAAGCTCAAGATGAGCTCCAGCCAGAAAACTCCCAATGACTGTTTTGCAATGGACGCAAGACGTTGTTCACGTTGGCGAGCTTTAAGTCCTAAACTATGCCTTAGAGGCTTACCGAGTGCCTGAGTGGGTAGTAGGGACTGGCACCCAGGAGACTGAATACTTAAGGACTTCTACTAAACAACCTCTTACCATTCTTAATGTGCTGCATGTTAGCCAATGGTTTCCTACATAGATCCATGAGGCCCCTCACAGTTTTTCACAACAAGGTGAGCATGCAATCCCAAACTGCGTAAACCCAAAGTCGGCCTGCAAACCCTGCATAGGTGTCAGGCCTGTGTAGCATCATATAGTCTAAGCAAAGCAGTACGAGAGGAAAATCTTCAGGGTAGCTCGGCGAAAATTCCACAGAGCGACTAGCTGAGACGGTGACAGGTCTGAATGTACTGTGCAACCTGCATGTACCTAGACCTTGATCATCGTTCCAAAACTATTCCTCGAATTAAGTGAATGTGAACATGCCTTGTTATTGTTCATCCAAGCAGAAATGTTCAAATTGTAGTGCTGAATAGGTCGCAAACCATGCCCTTTCTAGAAAATGTGCTCTAGGAGCCCTACTTCGAAAGCCAGCAGCGCTAGGTGGATAATTTCCAAGGAGTGGCAGAATGACTATAGGTCCCATGGTAGAGGAGGGATACATGCGGCAAAGTAAAGTTACTGCATGTTCCAGTTTTATGCAGCGTTGAGGTTGCACAGTACAATCCCTTCAAACTCTCCCCGTCTGGAAGTTAGAAGCCTCCCTACTCATGAGAGGATTTTGATAACCCCAACCCCAAATCAGGACCCTGTAACTACCACGTGGCTACAATGGGTTCCTCTTTCTGTTCGGGGGTACCAAACATCTATTCAGCATGGGCGCCCTATCCCTGTAAACCCGAACCCAAAGTTCCGCAACTGAACCTTACAATCAAACTCCTCAACCACGCAGACACCTCGAAGGGTCCAGAAATTAGATCCCTTGCAGGGGTTCTACACATAGCCCAATAGTAGTATAAGCTACTAAACTTGGCGATGTTCTTCCTAGATCCTCATCCTACCCTGTAGTGTGTTCCCGAAGGGTCATTTCTGTCGGAAGGCATGACAACCATCCCCATGGTCCCTAAACACTAACCCCAATTCACTGAGCCTTCCACTGAGGCATTTAAAGTTTGCTAGCTCTCGATGCTAATCTTCCTGGATACTTGCTACATGGTACTGATACACTATATATATATACACATAAATCCCAGGTATGCCTTAGATGTATTGACACAGATCGAAATTCTTTGGTACACCCCAGAGTATTCACCTATAATACTAAAGGCCCAGCTGCAACCCTGAACCCAACCGGGTAAAGCCTAAACCGTAAACCCTTGCACTCTAAAGCCTTCGACGCTGGTCCTTAACCCTAAATCCTAAACCTTGAATCCTGAAACTCTAAGCCTTGGATCCCAAACACCCCAAATCCTGAATCCTAAACCCTACTTAAGGCAAATGTTGCAAGCCTAAATTGCTTTAAGTGTATAGGCCTTGCCTTAAACCAATTACCCTCAGATTGCAGTCCGTAGCTTTCGTGCCTGGAAAGTTTCTCGGAGGCCCAGAGTGCCAATGATGTCAGCCGGGCCGTCGATGGGATCACGCCCTTGCTGGTAGAGCTCCTGTGCTGCAGTCTAAAGTTTAATGTCTACAATTTCAAGAGGACCTACTGATTCTTCCTGACACCTGGACAGGTAATTGTTGAAAGATTGCAGGTATAGGGATTGTATGGCCGTGGATCTTTCTAGCTCTTAAAGGAATTGTACAACGGGCTTCCCAGTAGGTGCCTAAGCCAGTCCTTGTTCAAAATCAATGTCATCGCATTGTTGATGCGATCGTCCGCGGCCCACATCTTTCGTGCGAGCTTCATGAGCGCCTGAACAGAAATCCAGTTTCCATAAACACTAGGAATGAACAACACATGTTTGTAGCCCCCACTTGAATAGTGCACCTGCAGCTCCCTGAAACTATACCCACAAGGCCCTAAAGATTCCAAGTGCACAAATACAGGAAATCAACGAGCACCTAAATTCTAGCACTTGACACATGCATCTAGAATATTTGAGCATGGGTCTCTGAACAAGCTGTCAACTAGGAGGGTGACCGGAAGTCCACGTTCAAGCACTACAGTAACTCTAGACAGATTCTTCACTACCTTCTTTCCTAAGCGGAAGTGCGTGTAGACCAGCCTCCAGCGTAGTGCCAAGCTGAACCATGTCGAGGAAATCTGCATTCTCGTTGCAATAGGCGCGTACCTGGCTTGTCCAATTTGGTTTTCGGGGTCTGAGAGATGAATAGACAGAAGCCAGAAACCTTGCCATTGCGGACAGCCCCCTTCCCCGACCAATGCATTGACCATCAACGCAGTGTGATTAGCGTGCTCTCCCAGAAAGAAAGGAGCTGCACCACGCAAAACCTCTGGAGTCAGGCAACACAATGCAACCTCAGCCTCAATTGAGTTGGTTCCGGCACTGAACTGAACCGCGCGCACTACATGACACACACGCGGCACTGGGATTGCCAGCTTCTCACGCTTTCTGCGGAGTCAGTTTGGCAACATGTCCATGTTCCGGAACATGCGCTTCAGGTCACCGCAGGAACTTGCAGAGGGAGGTCGTCACTTCAGGAGGTACTTTGCTTCACAGACTCATGCTCGGGGTGTCTTAGCATCAAGACCTCCTTTGTGAGGCTTCCTGTTGAAAAAATGCATACATTGAGGGAAACCTCGGTTTTGAGGATTGCCCTTGACAGTGAAGCGTAAACCTGGAAACTCTATGCGGACCAGCTGAGACTCGCACCGCCGTGAACATGGTGTAAAACAATGGGAAAAACCTGGGCGGTGTCCCTGGTCTGATGAGGTTCGGGGACTGCCGCCTAGGTGTCAATGGGTTTTGGGAGGGAAACATGCAGCGATATGTTATGCCTCAGTTTGAAATTCAAGATTACAAGTCTTGGTTGAAGGATGCTCCATGTACCTTGACAAGCACAGCATCATGACCAGGGTGCTAGCAGTGTTGCAATTCTTGCAGGCCCATTAACCGCTCAACCAACAGCCTGCATGAGCTATTTGGCCTGCAAAGAAATGAGCCCAGCACATATCCCGGAATGCCTCTACCCGCCTAAGCCCTTACCTTACACCCTCAGCAGTACTCTCGGGATCCTCAATATGACCCCTAAAGCTGAGGCTGCGGCTGCGCATTCTTGGCTGCAGTAGCATCGTCTTGTTCGGGCTCGAGCCCGGGCCATTCAAGGAGCCTTTCCACCTGCCGGTTTCAGGGGTGCCCGAAGAGACACTTCCGAGAAGCTGTAGGGATTTACAAGGACTGGGGTTTAGGGTTTAGAGCTTCTCAAAGGGACCCTAGGGATATGTGGGGAGCGTACCGAGGATTCTGTGGGTTCAAGTTAAGGATCAGATAAGATTGCTCTCCAGAAACTCCCACCTGGGCTGTCATGCATCCCTAACTGGCTGATGATGATAGGGTCCGGATATGTCCAAAAAAAATACTCGGGGTACAAGGGTTACAAAGGAATCATTCTCGTTCTCCTCCTCCAACTAAAAGGGACCCTTGCATAAGCACCCGTAAGTTGCACAGTAAGTTTCCAGAGCATATTTTGGGATTTGGTGCTAGTCTAGGGGAAGTCGATCCGGGCTTCTGGCAGTCAACTGGAGAGAGTCGCGGTCGCCCTGCTCTAAACCTCGCACACATGCCACATCCAGCAGACTGTCAAAAAGATTCACGCAACTGGCCTCACAGTTGAAGGATTTTAGGATGACTGCTCTGATGTCCCACACGAAATTGCAAGAAAAAAGATTGGGCCATGCCTAGAAGCAGGGTTTGCCTACCACGTGCCTACAGTGATTGGATCGGGACTCATCTTGTGAGAAAGAGCATCGTGGTAGGTTTGTCCACGGGCAACACAATGTGCTTTGCCTAATTCGCTAGAAATGCGGCTCTGATTCGAAGAAATCCCTACAGAAGCCAGGAAGAATTTGCCACCTTGCACAAAACGCACCATGATGTTGACGAGGAGCCCCCGCTCTACGAAAAGCCCGAGCTCTGAACCCAGGTTATCAGAAACAGGCCAGCACACGCAAGGCGTGAAGGACAGATTCTCCCTGAAGGAAACATGGAAGCTCACGTTAGCCTGTAGCCTTGTTGCGGCCCAACTTGGGGTTCCATGTTACTTGGGAGAATGTAGTCTCTGAATGATTGTGCTTTGGATCTCGGACAATCATGGCACATCCTCTGTTCATTCCTAAACGACACAGCCCGCCAAACCCCGCCTGACACGCTCAGCCGCCAAAACCGTTCTTGCCTAAGCAATTCGCAAACTCCCCCAAATCCGGTCTGAGCGCCCTGCTCTTGGCGACAGCCTTCTGCAGCTTCTTCAATGTGGCATCCTCAACACTAGGGTTTGGGGTTTCGGATTTATGGTTTCTAGTTACCAAGCTGCACCAAGACATCCCCACAAGAGCTGTCAGGGTTGACATATTGAGATGCAGAGTTTGAGATTGTTTGAAGGTCGACACAAGGATTTAAACAGTTGTGGAAGTCCCGTCAAGGATGGCTGGCGTTTTGGGCTTATGGTCGAAGCTCCCTACTGTAAGCAAGTGGAACATAGAGGGATCATCCAGATCCGTAAGAATCTGCAATGCAAGTTGCTAGAATTGTGGAAAAAGATCACCAAAATAAGTGTTGCAAATCATGACAACCAAAAGCTGTCAAGCCCAATCTCTAACATCAGCAGGTTAAAAAAGGGTGCCTTTCCGGCGCCTTGTATTGGACATCTCCAAAGGTTCATGCCTACCGTTTGAAGCACAGGGTTGAAGCTTTCATGCACAAATTCAGGAGCGAGCTGATAAATATGCAAAGGAAAACATATATATCTATATATGTACACACAAGGAAATCTGTTTTTCCTGGCAAATACTTTGTTGCCTCTTTTGGCATCTTTCATCCCACCCTGAAGAGCCATGCGTCGTTGAACTCAACGTTTTCTGCTGCCAGCAGCTGCACGGTAGCCTGGAAAAAGCTATGTTCAAAGGCTGAACGGCTGAAAGGTTCTTGGAAACTGAAGCCTTAACCTAGGGCATGGAAGGCTTTGTATCTGACCCAGGTTGAGCATTCAGGCTTAGGTAAACTCAGGGGCTTAGGAGCCAGGGCTTATTGTCAAGGGGCAAAAGAGTTGTGCAGATATCATCATGATGGGGTGCTTGCGAATTTTCATGTCTAGATTCTTACAGTAATGTGGCAGCCTATAAATGATTTGAAGTAGGGCTTGTAGGATTTGGTGCTTGCGGTTCAAAACCGGCACTACACCCTTTGGGCGCTGTGGGCTCGGAGTTGATGGTTTACCCGTCCCCAAACTCACCCAAGTTCTCACACAGGCCTGCTTTAAATCACGCAATCCACTTTTTTGACCAAGTCTTGCTTGGGTTCCATGGTAACTTGGCGTCTGTAGGTGTGAGGGTCTGGAGTCCAACCTGTGCATTTCTGGTGACAATTCATAACATATTTGGGCGTGTTTGAGGAGGTGAAGATTGTGGTTTTGGGAGTTTATGCGCGAGCCGACCTGATAGCCAAAAGCGATATGCATCCGTCACTATGAAGTTCGCTGCTTGAAGTGCATTGATAACTTAAAGCCTCAAAGGCCTTCTATGCCCCAAGACACCACAAAAGCCCAACCGGCAAAGTCTGAAGCCCTGAACGCCCAAGCCTTACACCCCCAAACTCGACCCCATAACTTATCCCCTAACAGCCTTCAACCCTTGTGGCCCCAAATGCCTCTGCGGGACCCAGCTTACTAAAGCCCTCGATGAGGCGCTCGATGCTCCTAAAGCGAGAGGGTCTGAGGTTCGGGGGTACCTGGGCCCTCCAATGTAATTCCTGTTCGGGCTTGTATAAGAAGGGTTTCCTTTGCGTGAAGCCCTCAGGGTGGGAAGCTGAGATACACTTGCGGCTTTATTTTGGACATGCTCAGCGGTTCGAGTTTGGAGCTTGCGCTCCCGGATTTAAACCTTGTAGACATGTTCTGTGGACATGGTTGCTACTAATGAGGGAAATGTTTTTTTTCAAAGCCCTGACTGGCACTGCCATGTTTTTAGAATCTGTTTTTGCAGCATCTGACTCTTGCAGGAACAGTTCGAAGAAATTCGGCTTGGACCCGCAACCCTGAAGACGCCTAAGCCCCCAAGCGGATCAAACCAAACCTCAACTTTCCCACAAAAGCTCCAAACCAATACAAGCTCCCTCAAATTGGGAATTTCTAGAAGTACGAGAACCTATACTTCAGAAGAGCTCATCTTAGGCCTCGACCTCCTACTCTCCTCGTAGGCTCCATCTGTAAGATCTATGCAACACCTATCAAAAACCTTACACCTTCACCCGCGATCTGCGGAAACTCTCAAAACTTCAAAGCTTCCTCCTCCTAGCTGGGAGCTGACCTCAAAGGCAAAATTCCTAAGCCCTCCTTAAAACCGCCAATGTGTTGGTGTACTTGGTGTCCTAGTGAAAATCCCAGCATCCTGCCAGGTCACAGAAGAAAAATAGACTGCCAGACTGCCTATGACCTTCGGAGCAGAAGCCAAGCGGCTGCACATCAATCTCCCCACTTTTCGACTGAGCCTGCAGTCATTGGTCTAAATCTTGGGAAGGCGATGCTAAGCGGCACTGCGCGGAACATAGGAAATTGCATAAAACTGCTAGATACTCAGCATGCAGCCGTCTGCAATTGTAGTTCATCCACTGATAGGCTACTGCCGTGGAGATTGTGTGCTATGAGAGAGTCAAGAATACGAAAACAAAATTCACCAAATCAGATGTCGACTAATTGGGACAACTCCAGTCTTTTGGAAGCATCTCGTGGGACACTGGGTTTTGCTCCTACCAGACGGTTGAGGCTGTGTAATCCTGAGAACCTTGTTGTATTTGGTGCTGTGGGTTTGGACATGTCGTGAACCTTTTCTCCTCAGTTGACCTGCAATGCACGTTGTCACAATGAGAAACCTACGTGTTGGCCGCTTAAGGCGGAATGCTAAACTCCAAACACACTCCCAACTCTTCTAATACCAAACCCAGGCCGTTACAAACACCAACGGTGCAGATGGCAAGAAAAATGAGTTTCTTCTGTCGCAATATTTCAGCATCCTAAGATACCGCAGATGGTGCGCGTAGATCAAGGAAGGAAACATAGAAGACCAAAAAAATGTATATACTGCACAAAGCGGAAACGCATATGGTTGCGCAACATGAGT